GGTTCCGACCCATAGCGACCCTGTACAGGGTTTCCGAGGGTGTAAATCTTTACGGGAGTAGAAAGCCTCATCTTTCTCCCGCGGAGCGCCTGGTAGTTTCGAACCACAGACCATAGTGCTGGAAAAAAAGTCACTTCAGGTGAAAGGCACTCAAAATGCCTGGTGTGGTGCTGTGGGTTAATGCGCTGGACTGCAAAGTCGGTTTGAGAACAAGGTCGGCAGTTCAAGGTCACCAGCTGCTCTGCAGAAACTCTATACAGGTTTGCTATGGGTCAGAACCAACTTGACGGCACTTAACTATATATACACACACACACACACACACACACACACACATCCTACTTTTTCCTTCAAATATTTTAAACACTGTAAGTCATTACTGTTAATTGTTTTATGAGTCAATCAAGTTATCCTTTTCTTGCTTTTTTTATCCTTGTTGAATTTCCATGCTTGTTTCTGGAATTTTTATCCTTCTGCCTGAAGAAATGTCTCTAGTATTTTTTAAATGCCAGGTCAGACAATTTTTCCTTGAAATGTCATCATGCATTTTCATTTTCTTAAAGGACATTTTTACTGTGCATAGATTTCTAGGTGAGCAACTATTTTCCTTTCTTTCAGCCTTTAAAGTGTCTCCATAGGCTGCTCTAAGAATTCAGGTCTAAGTTTTATTTTTACTTCTTTGGAATGTTATATACGTTCTCCCTCCTCTGTTGGACTGTAATAGTTTCTTATTGGTTTTCCAGAAGTTTTATGAAAATGTATGGTTTTCTTTGAGTTTCTTAGGATTCATAGCACTTTTTGAATCTGTGGCCCGATATCTTTAGTCAATTTTGGAAAATTCAAAGGCCTTGCTCTGCCCTGTTCTCTCTCCGGGGATTCTAAATACAACTGTGCTAGATCCTTTTTGATAGTTTTCATCTGCTTGACTCTGTACTTCAGGCTTTTGAGAGACTCTTCTTCATGAGTTTGTTGCATTCGTGCACTAACTGCCTTTAGTTTTGTACTATCTTTTTAAAGATGCCTACATAGCAGTCTTGGAAGACAGAGACAATGGCTTCCAAAGATTAGGTTCTGTAGCTCAGATTTCCTCTCTTGTTAAGCAACCCACTGTATGGGCAGGTGTTATCTAACCTCTTTGCTTCACCCTCTAGGAATCTGGAATTGAAAAACAGGCATAAATATTGATACTCACTGTAGTACTGTAAGATCAGCACTGGACTGCGAACCTCAAGGTCAGCAGTTCAAACCCACCTATACAGGGTGGCTATGAGTTGGAAGTGACTCAATGGCACTTAACAACAACAACAGCTACTGCTATTGCTGAGAGTAATAACTGTTTTTTATTTCTGATCCAATACTTTTATATCTTCTACCAGCACGCATGAAAGTATGGCAGGCTACTTTGCGAATAGGGTAAAACCTCAGAGACTTCAAATTCTGGATATTTTGTATGGACATGACATTCAGGTTATTAGTTCGTTTTCTCAGCTCTTTTATGTTATTAATCACATATTTTGAGTTCTTAATTTCAGTTCTTGTATTTTTCAATTCTCAAATTTTAATATAATTTTATTTGGGTTTTACTTTTCTATCAGAATTTTTCATCTTTTAATCTATTTTTGAAGCTAAAATCCAAGTCTGACGAGTCTAGTACCTTGGTCATCTGTGATTCTGTTTGCTTTCTTGTTCCTGTTTTCTTGTGTTAGATAACTTTTAAATAACAGACATTGTGTTAAAAAAAATGTTGATGCTGAAGATGTGGGTATCTGCTTCCCAAGAGGATTTACTTTCATTTCTGTTAGACAGTTAGAGTAGGAGCAGATCACCATAATCCAATTTGTGACTGAACTGTGTCAGTGTCGACATTAGTGTTGGTGGAGGTTGATCTATTTTCAGTTTACTCATGTTCCTAGGATGTTCTCTTCCAGCGGTTTTAGATACAAGAGAGAGTGTTTGCCAAAGCTCCTTTTCCATTGCTAGTCTTGAACGTCAAAGCTGTATGCTTCCTAGTACTATGAGACTGCTTAACATCTGCTGTTTCTTAGCCTCAAGGTTCTATATTGCTTATAAGTTGATCAGTGCAGAATTGATCATATGTTTAGGTATGGTTTTCTTTGAATTTACTGTTTTAGAGTTCATGTTGTTGCTACTAAGTGCCTTCGAGTTGGTTCCAGCTCAAAGCGACCCTGTATAGGGCTTCCGAGGAGCAGGTGGTGGTTTGAATTACCAACCTTGTGGTACTCAGTCCAGTGATGATCCTACAATGTCTCACCAGGAGTCCTTAGGATTCATAGTACTTCTTAAATAAAATGTTAACTTAAAATAAAGCGTTCACTTCAATGCATTCTCTAAAAAGGTTTTTATTGTGAATTGAATGATAGTTTGCATTGTAGAACATCAGCTTTACATTCATCCTATCATATTTCA